CGGCGGAGAACTCCGTCGAGGTTCCCGCCCGCCGCCCAGGGTTATTCCCCAGGGTGCCTGTTGCAAACCACGCCCTGTGCAAGCCACACCCTCCGTCGTCGCCGACCATGCTCCATACGGAGGGATTGCTCAGGACTTGATGGACAGGGTAAGAACTCAGTCTGGATGGGGCAATAATCGCCCCACTTGGAATCGCTGGAGGGGTTGGGCACGCGCTGTCGGAACAGGTGGAGGGGGGATTGTAGGAAAGTCTGGAGGATGACGAGGAGGATACAGATACGGATGCGGATGAGTCCGCGAAAGAGGTCCACGGGTGTGTGTGTGTGTGTGTGCAGGCAACAACAGCGTCACTTGCAGACCGAAGGACGATGAGGAGGAGAAGGTTGGGCCAAGCTCCGTCGGAAAGTCAATCACCCTCTCCTTGATACATGCGCCATCCGGAGCAGTCTGGTTCACCCCCGGGGGCGCGACGAGAATCTCGCTTCGCGTGTCGCGGCCTGGGCCTCCGGGTTGCCCGTCTTTGGGGCGGCGGCGCGTCGCGCATGGCGAGGCGCGCTGTGCGAAGTTGGGCGACTTGGAGAGCCGATTAGTCGGAGGAAAACTGCCAGCTCCCAAGTGAGGGAAGGGGACTCCACGACGCCACAGATAGCCGAGCAGAAAGAAGAGAAGGTGGAGGTGGAGGAGGAGGAGGAGGAGGAGGAGGAGGAGGAGGAGGGAGGTGCAGCTAGGCCAAGGAACATGTGAATGGAGATCCACGGATAATATACGATCAGCCCCGCGACTCATGCCTGAACCCCCACACCCCCTGGCCAGATGTCTTTTCTTCTTTCCGCGGGGGGTCAACCTTCGCGGCGACCCGTTAAACCCGGGACCCCTGGCGGCGCATGGATTTATTTCTTTCTTCCGCGCGCGAGTTGCCATTGGAACCCCTGAACCCCTCCGACTACCGTACAACTAGTACTTGAGTACGACTGGTATTATCATGTACTAGCGCGCAGTTGCTCCTAGAGAGCACATTGTCTTGCCGTGCAAGTAAATATTAGAGTGCCGTGGAAGTATTATTGTGCCAGTACAACTCCTTGGCGCAATTCCGTAGTGCAGCTCCCTAGTACAATGCCCTAGTACAACTCCTTGGAACAAGTGGTACTAGTACAACTCCCTAGTGCAACTCCCTAGTACAACCCCCTAGTATTAGTACAACTCCCTAGTGCATCTCCCTGCGCAACTCCCTAGTGCAATTCCACTAGTGCAACTCCCTGTGCAACTCCCGAGTAGCAGTCCAAGCCCCTAGTACAACTCCCAGGAGGACTCCCTGGTACAACTCCTTATTACTAGCACAACTCCCTAGTGTAACCACTCTTAGAATGTTGCTGCAATGCACTTACAATCTGGGCTCTCACGCTTTTCCTCCTCTGGTTGCGCTGGGGTGGGTGGGACCCCTCGCGCGGACACCCCCGCGGCTGAGAATTCATTCCTCTTCCGGAATTTGAGGCGGGGGTAACCCCCGTGCTCGAACCCCTCGCCAGGGATTGTTTTCTGTCCTCCGCAGAAACCGGACCCCCTCTGTTCTTGGCCGCGCCCCAGAAGTTTTTTCCGGATGGGTCTTTATGGGTCTTTCGTTGTTTGGATTGGGGTGGAAATGCGTGCAGTTTTTTTCTGATGAGGAAGAGGAGGGACCCACGATGCGTCAGCGATGCTACAGGCTAAGGTACAACATCCCGTCCCAAGTCCCCTCCTCATGCACTGCGAACCTTCTTCCTACAGGAAGCGCCCCCCCAACAAAACAGCACTTCTTGGGCCTGTCATTCAGACCCACTCAGGCGGGAGCTTCGGTTTTGGAAGAAACTACTTTGCATCATCATAGCGAGTATATGTGAATGCGACAAGGTATGGTTCATACGGTTCAGCGATGTGTCCAGCGAGACCCCTTTTTTTAAAACAAGGACCGCCCCCATCTGTGCAACTGTTGCATACGTTTACACTGTTGGCCGTCCACTTCGGAAAAGTCTCTGTCAATATCCCTATTTTGAAGAAGGAGCCGCAGTCTGTCAGCGTAGCTATTGCATCTGTTCGAGTTTCTGCTCTGTTCAAAGTCTCAAGCGAGTGCCCCATGCTGACAAGGAACCGCCCTCCACCTGCATATCTGCTGCGTTTGTCAGGACGACTGTGTGCGACGCTTAGGCGAGGGCTGTCAGTCAGTCAAGCCCACCGCACATAGGGCCCATCGGCAAATAAAAAGCTGTGCGTGCAGCGACAGAGACAGAGCCCGCACGCAGGAGTCCACGCGAGGGGACTAAGCGGAGCACCCCGGAAGGCAGTCCGTACGTGCCCCGCTGCGAATAATAGCATGCAATTCGTCCGCGACGTCGGCGATACAAATTGAACCGAATTTCGTATCATCCTACTGTTGGAAGATAAAGGACACGCGGAGGGAGGGAAGGGGGAGGCGACCGAGGAAGGAAGAGGAAGGGAGAAGGAGAAGGGAACGAAAGTACAAACA